TGTGAGCAAAAGTTGTTTTATTCCTCGCCCGAGAAGCGTTTTCATGCTTGAATGACAAAGAAAACCCACTTTGTGTAAAGCGTGTCACTGCTGCAATCTTAACATCAATCACACCGACGGCAAATAGCATTTTAAAAAAAGGAATATCCACATTCCTGACGGGAAAAACAAGCTGCGCTGACTCAGTTGAAGTCAGTTCTCACAACTGAAAATTTGAGGGAACTTTTTAGGCTCTGACCTCAAAATTCAGAGTGCTGCCCAACAAAAAAAAGTGTGCTGATAGCCGCAGTGGCACTCTGTTTATCAGCACCTCTGTCGGATTGTGTTACATCAGTAGCACATATAGCTCTGCCAAAATCTAATCAGTAAATCAGTTTGTTTCCAGCTTGCATTGCTAAAAAAATCCTCCTGGGTTTGCAATTTGCAACTGGAACTTGGATATTACATCATTCTCAGCTCTGCGCTCCATCTGTGAAGGCTAATGGGACAATGCATTACAACCCCATCGAGGGTTTACGCATCGAGTCAACGCCTCGCTGTTTGGAAGGAGAGGCCCCACCGAGTGCCAAAAGCAGCTGAAATGGTGACGGATTCTAAGAGTAACAGCAGATTCAGAAAGGAGTCGGCTTTCTTTTTAAAAGCTTAAACAGTTGAGAGGGCAAGGGGGAAAAGTGCTACAAAAAATCAGCTGAAATCCAAACTTGGAAATGTGTATCTGTAGTGACAACTTTGTGCTAAAGTAATCATTGTAGGCTTGAAAATTCTGACAAGTGAATAAATCTATATACATTTGACATGATTTTAAAAGCAGGAGTAGATATGCTGCACTTCAAACATGCCATTTTGTCACACATCATTTATAATATAAGTCAAACGTTTTCTCCCAAACTTGTAAATTCAGGATGTAACCTGGAAATCGCTCATTGGATCATGAAGAGGCACAAGTTGTGTCACAATTTAAGACTCGGCTCCACATGAATATCGTCTGCGCGGTGGATTCTGCGCTCATTCGTGCCTCCATAATTCATCACACAGTCTGAATTAAATATAAATCTGTATTGGCTCCTTCCACGAAGGAAGAGGTAAATGCTTAAAGGACCACATGTCTGTGTTGTTTATGTGGAGAGACGATGCTGTGTATCCTCTGCTCTTTCCATCTACATTGTTTCATGCTGTTTATATATGTTCTTGTTTCCCTTTAAACCCATTAATGGTTTGATACACAGTGAAAGATTGAAACTCTTATTCCAGCAACTGACGCGTGATTTACTTTGACCTGTAGAAAGCAAACATGCCCATTGTCTTATCCTCATAAATGTGCTTTTCACAGGCTTGAAAGCATTAAGTGATTCACACCGTGGAAATAAATACACAGAGAAAATGATCAAAACAAAACAGGTTTACTGTGGACCCACACACACGAGAGCATGAAAACCCGCAAACACAATAAGCTGAGCAAATCTGACAGCGTAATTACCTGTAGAAACAAGAAGAAATGTGTGTAAATTTGTCTCATTTAGTGCCTCTGATTGACTTGGCTACCCTGTTGCTGTTGTTCTCATTGTCTGAACCGCGGAAGTGGCGGGCTGAGAGCTCCGCCTGATTAATTGACTGTGGATTGAAATGACAGCGAATTTCCAACAAAGTACGGCTTATCCTGCAGTCTCTGGCATTGTTGAAATTCCCCACAGCCAAGCCTAATGCGACTGCGAGCAGAAGTGCGCCTGACACACAACACATTTGCATATTTGGCTCAGTTTGATCCTGATAAAATGCAGGCATCCTTGAAAGTCTTCGACGCCTGCTATTTATCCATAATTGCTAGCCTTCTGCTTTCTTCCCTTGATCCGTGTTGCTTCCCACAAGAGAAGCTGAACATCAAAAATTGAACATGATATTTTAACAACAATTACAAAGATGGAGTCTTCAAAGGAAACTGCACATAATTTTAGCAACATATGGTCACAGGTGTATTTATTTCCGGCAATGTTTTCTTACACAGTGAAATACATATTATCTATGAATAAAAATAGTAAAGAAGTTTTAAAAAGTTCTGCTTTGAAAATCAAACATACATTCAAAGTACATTTCCAGTGTTGCTCGTACAGAGGTCGAATGCCCAGGGGCCCTGAAGCCTCCAAAGGAATCATTATTACTGCAAGCAGCCTACAGAAACCCTTAACAATTGATGAAGCAAGCAATGGGCTTTGTTCTTTATTCCAAGTCAACATCCACAAATCCTCCTCATCAACTCTTAAACTCTTAAAATGCAGAGATTGTTTGTCTTAAAAGAGACTCTCCCTCCACTCCCAAGCACAAATCCCCCCTGAAACCAACATCTGTTTAGCCTAAAGAGCAATTATCTCCTTGTAATTCAATTTAAAGGTAGTTGACGTTACATTATTTGCATCACATGAAGAACATACAAGACGAGTGACTCCATGAGATAAACACACTGGGATTGACCCGGGGTTTCGATATATAGTCCGATGAAAACAGGAAAAAGGCCATCATCTTCAGGTTGGTGGACACCTGGGATGACTAGAAAACTTTGTTTGGGCTGGAAGCACGAGGAAGGGCACTGGTCAACATAACACATTTCAAGAAAGCTTTTAGAGTCAAGGGACAGCTTTGATAATCTCTTTGTCCTTCAGGTGCTGCTCCCTTGAGCATGTAATCTACATTATTGCACCACTCAAGCAACACCATTCGAGTGAACTCTGTCTAAATTGCGAGTCAGCCAATGTCATCGGGGACAGTCTTCAGAACCTATTGATGTTCCAAAGGATAAGTGGGTTTAGAAAAGAGATGAGAAGATTTCGTTTTGATGGAAAAACTTGAATAGGGGGGAGTTTTTTTAAACATCAAGAACATTGTGGCTCCCACTTTCATAGATATACACCAAACAGGATTACTTTTATCTCATCGTATAATGGGTTTGTCGAAAGGTTGGTGCGAAATTTAGAAAAAGCATTTTGCTCCGGTCAAATCCATCCAATCTGTTTCCATCATTCCCATTTTACTGTCACCTGCATGTGGATAACAAACCCACGTCCACATACATATGGACGGATTTGACTTTTCTACCATGTAAGCATTGTCCAGTCTCACTAGACTTTACAAACTGGCTAAAGGCATTACCCATTACCCCCATTACACCCATTAGCTTAGCAGCTGCCCTATAGCATGCTCTGCATACACCTCCTCAACCACTTTCTGGGGGAATACAACTCGTAAAAAAAATCCAGTTTTACCATCTCAAACTAGATAAAAAGAGAATCTCAAATAAATTCCAGGAAAAAAAAGACAAAAGTGTGGTTATGAATGGTTCCATCCATCCTTATTGGTCCACTCTTCTGAGGGATCAGGCTCAGATGCAACAGGTTTAGGAAGGGAAACCCAGCAAAACCCTTCAGCTCCTCCAGGGGGATCCAAAGACATTCTCCTAGGGGGGCAAAAACTACATACCCAAACTATCTCATATCTTCTTTTCATGTGGAGGAGAAGGGGCTCCAATCCCAGCTCCCACTGGAAGGTCCAGCCCCTTAGCCCAGCCAAACCCATTTCAGTTGCTTGTATCTGCAGTCTCATTCTTTCGATCTCTGGTTCACAGTAGTTGTTGACCTTAAAATCATTTAATTAGTAGCCATGTGTTTTTCATAGATTGTAGGAATCAGAAAAAATGAAGATATACTGTACAGTGGTATCCTCCTATAAACGAAACTATAGAGAGGGACAATGTTTGTCTTCAACTGGTACAACAGACTTTTATGACACAAAGGTTTATTAAAGTTGGACATTTTTCAGTCCTATAATC